AGCCTCAGCCTGCATCAGCCTCAGCCTTAGCCTCAGCCTGCCTCAGCCTCAGCCTGCATCAGCCTCGCCTCAGCCTGCCTCAGCCTCAGCCTCAGCCTGCTTCAGCCTCAGCCTCAGTCTGCCTTCAGCCTCGGCCTCAGCCTCAGCCTGCCTCAGCCTCAGCCTGCATCAGCCTCAGCCTCAGCCTCATCCTGCCTCAGCATCAGCCTGCCTGCCTCAGCCTCAGCCTCAGCCTGCTTCAGCCTCGGCCTCAGTCTGCCTTCAGCCTCGGCCTCAGCCTCAGCCTGCCTCATCCTCAGCCTGCCTCAGCCTCAGCATCAGCCTGCCTCAGCATTCAAAATGTAGCCCGGGAATGGAGTTCTGGGAACTCGAAGAACACGAAGTGGCCTACAGTTGGCTCCGGGCATTCAAAATCATGCCCAGGAATGGAGTTCTGGGAACTCGAAGAGCACGAAGTGGCCTACAGTTGGCTCCGGGCATTCAAAATGTTGCCCGGGAATGGAGTTCTCGGAGCACGACCTACAGAATTCAAAATGTGGCCCGGGAATGCTGGGAACTCGAAGAGCACGAAGTGGCCTACAGTTGGCTCCGGGCATTCAAAATGTGGCCCGGGAATGGAGTTCTGGGAACTCGACCACGAAGTGGCCTACAGTTGGTTCCGGGCATTCAGAATGTGGCCCGGGAATGGAGTTCTGGGACCTCGAAGAGCACGAAGTGGCCTACAGTTGGCTAAAAAAAGTCCCGGGCACCCTCCCCCGGATCACGCCCAGACCCCCCTGGGGCGTCATGATGCTCTCTTTTGACCCTACTAGAAACCTATCAGTCTTCGCTGTTAGGTAAATATAGGGAATCCTGTTATTTGCGTATTTGTTTGTGTGTCCCAGGGCCCCTTCAATGGCCGCCGTCGTCGTGGTTTTTTGGGGGCTAGGTGGATCTTTCAAGCTCTCCGACGCCTCTGGCGGTGCGCGCTGCGAGCAGGAAAACAGCAACGCCACACCGCAACGCAACGCACACCGCCAGAGGCGGCGGAGAGCCTGAGAGATCCACCCACAAAAAGGGCGTCTTCGCCGTCGTGGCGGTGGTCGTCGTGGCCGTCGTCGTCGTCGTGGTCGTCGTCGCGAGATCTCAGAGGAACCCAGAGTGGCATAAACATGAACGCTCAGAGATCCGCGCGGATGTCTCGGATCCTCGCTGGACCCCCCTGGTGCGCTCCGTCCGAGTTGTTATCTTTATGTCATCCTTCGTTCCCCTAGATCTTCGTCGACGTCGTCGTCGTCGGCGGCGGCGGCGTCGTCGGGGGGTCCTCCCAAGGCCCCGAGGAGCGGGGGACCGCTGCCCTCCCCTCGCTCCTGCCCTCCCCTCTCTCCCCCCCCTCCACCTTCCTTGCGTCTCTCCGCCCTCGTGCCCTCCTTCCCCTGCCCTCCCCTCTCTCCCCCTCTCCCCTCTTCTCTCCTCCACTCCTCTCCTCTCTCCCCTGCTCCCCTCCCCTCCTCCCCTTCCCCTCCTCCCCTCTCTCCCCTCTCTCCCCTCTCTCCCCTCCTCCCCCTCTCCCCCCTCTCCCCTTCTCCTCCTGCCCTCCCCCGTGCCCTCCCCTCCACAATTACTCAATATGAATACTACTCTCCCTCTTCCCCTGATGGCTTGCTGGGAGTGGCCGACCCCCCCCCCCCGCGTACTGTTTTTACACCGGATTCCCGGGAGTTGGGTTTTCGCCTGCGTGTTTTTTTCAAAATGCTGCTCTCGCTGAGGCGCCAGCCTCATTTCTGCTCCCGAATCGTTCCGAATCGTGCTCCCGCTGCAGCGTGGGCCTCATTTTCGGATCGGTGTTTGGCCTCCGTCGTTCAGGATGGCGTTCTCGCCCCAGCGCGGGCCTCTTTCTCGCGCGCCCATCCGCCCGCCACCACCGCGCCGCACCACCACCACCACCACCACCACCACCACCACCACCACCACCACCACCACCACCACCACCACCACCACCACCACAACCACGCACACACGCACGCACGCACGCACGCGCACCACCACCCACTACGCACGCGCGCGCGGAGCCACAGGTCCGCTACGACACGCGTCCGCGGATAGAGAAAATCAGCGCCATGGTAAGGGATGGGAGGGAGGGGTAGGACGTCAGATATGACGCGAGCGCACCTAGCTTGTCTTCTCCCCTCCCCTCCCCTCCTCCCGCTCCTCCTCTCGGGGGGTGGCTGAGGTGCACCCCGGAATCTCCGCCAGCACGGCCTTCGACCCTGCTCCTCGCCATCCTGGCGGACACCGTCCAGCCAAGATTGCCCTGCGGGACACCCAGCGGGGATGGGGGCAGACACGTGGAGAAAGTTGATGACATGGAGGAAAAAACAGAAGGAGGAGGAGGAGGAAATGTAGGGAGGAAGCTCCCGTAAAGAGAGGAGCTATAGGGAGTGGAGACACAATGAGGAGGAAGGAAGGGACGCATGAATGGGGGAATATGGATGAGGAACACGGAATGGTGATGAGGTGAAGGACAATGTCGCGTGAAGAAGGAGATGAATCATAATAGTGGTAATAGGAGAATTAACAATAATAATAATATGTATACTAATAATAAGAAGAAGAAGACGAGGAGGAAGAGGAGGAGGAGTTGCAGAACGAGTAAGATGAGATAATGGAGAAGCAGGACGAGGAGGGAGCGATGAGCTGGGAGCGGAGGAGCAGGATGTGCAGGGAGAAGTGGGACAATCGGCAGGGCGAGGGAGAAGCCCGTCGAGCGAGCGGGATGGATTCACCCTCGGCACCGCCGCAGTGGCTCCACGAACTCCACCGAGCCAGGCAGGGGGAGGGCCGCGGTGCGGGCGAGGGCTGGCACGTCCACCCCGACGGGGCACGCTGGCCCAGACCCCGAACCCCCCACGAGGGGGCAACCGCGGCGCACGGGGCGGACGGGGAGCAGGGGCGTCCGCGATCGCAGGCCCGCGTGCTGCGCCCCAGGGCCCGCAGCTCCCGCGCCCGGCGGGGCGGGGCCTCTCGGAGTAAGGGGGCGGACGCCGCGGGGCGCAGCGGCGAGGCGTGGCTTTGCTTGTGGCCCGACGGGTGTGCCCGCTCCCTGCGCCCCCCGGCCCCGCTTGCCGCGTCGGCCCCTACCTCGTCGAATGGGATCGGTCGCACAGGAAGCCGTCGTCGTCCTCCTCCTCCTCCTCCTCCTCCACCTCCTCCTCCTCCTCCTCCTCCGCCTCCTCCTCCTCCTCCTTCCTCCTCCTCCTCCTCCTCCTCCTCCTCCTCCTCCTCCTCCTCCCCCCCCCCTCCTCCTCCCCCTCCTCCTCCTTCTCCTCTTCGATGCTGCGGAAAAAGGGAAGAAGGCGGCACGGAAGCCCTCGCGACCCGGAGCCGGAAGCAGCCGCCCCGCTGCTTGCTGCAATGCCTCGAGTTTCATCGATCTGCGGGGGCCCCTGGAGCCCGAAGCCGGGCGCAAACGCTGGGTGCGACAAGAAGACGGCGTCAGGGTCCGAGGGCACCAGCGCTGGACTCAAGTCGTGCCTGTCCCTCTACAGGAGGAATTTTCAAATATAGTCACAAAAATAGAATGGGGATGTTTTTTTTATAGTATGTCTGACCATCTTTGAAAGTTATTGACTTGTTTCTTAAATTTGTCGTCCAAAATCCGCGGGGAGCGGGGAGAACACATCGAGAAAAGCAGATCGTGAAACGAAGCGGCAAACACTGCTTAGGTGTAAGTCGGACACGTCCCTCTACGGGAGGAAGATGCGAAAGTAGTCCTGAAATAGTCCAGGGGGGATTATCTGATTATGTTTGGCTAGTGTTGGGTGTTGTTTAACTTTTTGTTTAATTTGTGGTTTTTCGTCCAAGCTCCGCCTGTCGGAGGACATGCCCGACCTAAGCTTAGGTCTAGCCCTGGAGGGCACCGCCGTGGGTCTGTGCCTCGCGGCGGTGGCGGAGCCCGAGGCGGGCTGGCCGGCCGCGGCCGCCCGCCAGCGGCGTCGCGCCTGCAGCGCAGCCGCGGCTGCGGCGCAGCCGCGGCGCTCCTCCGCCTGCCGAGCGCGCCGCCGCCGGGTGTCGGCCACGCTCGGAGAGGGGCAGGAGGAGGGGGGGGGGCTTTTTTGACGGAGGAGGAGGAGGAGGAGGAGGAGGAGGAGGGGGAGGAGGAGGAGGAGGAGGAGGAGAGGAGGAGGAGGAGGAGGAGGAGGAGGCGGAGGAGGAGAGGGGCAGGAGGAGGAGAGGGGGCAGGAGGAGGAGGAGGGGCAGGAGGAGGAGGGGGGGGGCTTTTTAGAAGGAGGAGGAGGAGGAGGAGGAGGGGAGGAGGAGAGGAGGAGGAAGAAGAGAGGAGGAGGAGGAGGAGGAGGAGGAGGAGGGGAGCAGGAGGAGGAGGAGGAGGGGGGGGAAGGGGAGGGAGAGGGCGGAGGGGGAGGAGGGGGAGGAGGGGCGGAGGGGGAGGAGGGGGAAGAGGAGGAGGAAGAGGAGGAGGAAGAGCAAGGAGGAGGAGGAGGAGGAGGAGGAGGAGGAGGAGGAGGAGGGGGGCAGGAGGAGGAGGAGGGGGGGGGCAGAAGGGGGCTCTTTGAAAGTGCCCCCGCCTCTTGGAGGGCGGGGGCTTTGTCTGCAGACGCAGGGCCGGCTTCCTCCAAGCAGCGGCCAGTTGGGTGTCGGCGTCGCCCGCCACGCGGCCGCGCAGCCGCCGGGTGTCGGAGGGGGGCGCAGGAGGGCGGGAGGCCTTTTATCGGAGGTGGATAGAGCTCCTACTCTGACACGTCGATTAAGGAATTTGCCGTTTTCGGTTCGCGAGAGGGCGTCGCAGCCGTCATCTTTGCGGGTCCAGGTCCGTCGGTTTCGGTCCCAGGCCGTTTTCACTAAAGGGAGGTTTACTAAAGGGAGGTTTTTCCACCGCCGATTTTGGGAGTGCACCCGCTTCTTGGAAGTCGCGGGCCTTGCCTGCAGACGCATGGCCGGCTTCTTCCAAGCAGCGGCCTGCTTCTAAGCAGCCTTCCCCTCTCCCCCTGCCCTTGTGTCGGGCCTGTCCCTCTACAGGGGGAGAATGCAAAAATTGTCACACACAAAAAAAGTCGGGACGATTGTTCCTAGCATTTTTGGACCATGTGGGTGCATTTCTGGGGTATTTGCTAACCTCATGCCCGTGAGAATAAACACTAGGGGATAATAAAGTTCGGGGTTCAGGGAGAGATAATAAAAGTAGCCCAGCAGACCTCAGCATAATCTCGAAGTAAGAGATGATCAAGAGGAGACCAAGCCGAGCACGTTTTGAGACATCCTTGGCGTTTAGTTTTCATAGAAATATCCTCAACAATGGCTTATCTCGCTGGAGACATCCTCGACAAATCCCTTGTTTCGCTTGAGACATCCGCAAACTATTGCTTATTTCGCTTGAGACACAGTCAAACTATTGCTTATTTCGCTTGATGTTGCCATCTCAGCAGGCGAGCGTGGGGACAGAGAGAAATATAAAAGAAGAATGATACAGTAGAAGAATAATAAGAAAGAAGAAGAAGAGGATAATAAGAAGAGGACGAAGAAAGGAAAAATCCAAAGTTCCAAATCTATCAATTTTGATTTACAAACGCTTTATGAAAATTGATGTTTTTAAGTGCTCGTGTAGGGTAGCTCATGTGCTTCATTTTCCATGGATAATCAACCCCAGGGATAAAAAAGTTCAGGCGAGCGTGAGGACAGATAGAAATATAAAATAAGAAGAGGAAAGTGGAATAATAATAAGAAGAGGAGAATAAGAGAAGAAGAAGAAGAAGAGAAGAAGAACGGAAAAATGGAAAGTTCCAAATCTATCAATTTTAATTTACAAACGCTTTATGCACATTGATTTTGTTAAGTGCTCATGTAGGGTAGCTCATGTGCTCCCCTTTCCATGGATAATCAACCCCAGAGATAAAAAAAGTTCAGGCGCGCGCGGGGATAGATACATATATAAAAAGGAAGATAATACAAACATATAAATAAAAAGAAAAAACTTGCTGGTTTAGCTTGAAACATCCTTGAGACATCCTTGGAACATTGCTCGTTTCGTTTGAGTCTGCCTCCCATAATTTTTGGTTTCGCTTGACACATCCTGAAAAAGTGTGATCGCTTCGCTTGATGTTGCTATATCAACATCGCTTGATGTTGCTATCTCAACATAGCGTTTCGAGGTGATAATGAAGTTCGGCCTCAGCGCTCGCCGCCCAATTTGAATTTTGTGTAGGGCGACGATAATCAATTCTAAACACTGAAGGGGGGGGTCCCTTTATTATCATCGGCATGCGGTTATTTTTCGCCCAAAATCCGCCTGTAGGAAAATTCCAAAATAGTCAAAACATAGTCTGGGGACTATTATTGTTGGCATTTTCGGGCCATTTTGATGATGTTTGTATATTCTTGATTTTTTGTCCAAAGTCCGCCTGTAGGGGGACACGCCCGACCTCCCCATGCCCCCTCCGGCGCACCGCCGAGGGTGCGCACGGTGCGCCGCGCGCCGCGCAGGGGGCCGCCGCGCTGCGGCCAGGGAGGAGGGGATCGGGCTAAGGATGTTCCAGCCCGCTCGATCGCAAAAGAAACAGGCGCCATGAACACACAGTCCAGCAGTGGGGGGCCACATGCGAACCCTACCCCTAGCCCCCACGACTTCTGAGGGGGAGGGTGGGGTAGGGGTAGGGTTCACATGTGGCCCCCTAAGGATGTTCCAGCCCGCTCGATCGCAAAAGAAAAAGAGCAGTCCAGCAGATTTAAAGGCCTCCTCCCGAAACCCTGGGCCAGCGTTTCTCGACCAACCTGGAGAGCTGGCCCAGTCTCTTGAGCACGCTCGCGCCTCCAGCTTTCACAACAGAAATTGGCACAGGCCTGTTTTCAGAAACCTCCGGGAAGTTGGCCCAGATGTCTGAGGTGATATTTTTCTTGATCACATTCTCCGCTGTAAACGTTTGGTGCTCCGCGCGGGTTTCTTGGATCGGCGCATGGGCCCCCCTGGCGGCGCCTTTGGCGCCGCCCCCCGCGCGCTCCGGGCGCCAGGGAGAGGGGTCCGGCGCAGATCCAAGAAATCCTCGCGGAGCGCCAAAGGTCTATGTGTATGGCGTTTTGTCTTCTTTTTTAGCGTTGATCACCATGCAGAATTTCCAGCACCGGGAACGCATCCGAAGCTGGTGGGTCTTCACGCGTCGGGCCCTGGGAGGCGAAGTGCTCGTTCGACGCCTTGCCAGCCCGTCGGGCAGGCATTGCTTCGATAGGTCTCGGGGTGCTCGAAGTCATGTCCTGGATGCGGTTCCCGAGCACGATGGGAACAGCAGAAGGTTCGGGGCGAAGGCCACACGCAAGCCGGGTGTTGCTTGAAGCACCCCTGGGCCAGGGCGCCCCCAGGAGTTCCAAGGAGGCCCCCGCGGCCTCCAGAGAGCCCCATCGGAGGAGGAGGAGGAGGAGGAGGAGGAGGGGCTCCAAAGTGGTGGAGGAGGAGGAGGAGGAGGAGGAGGAGGAGGAGGTGTTAACATGCAAGCGTTCAGGTGACTGGGGAGGAATAGTAACCCTGTTGCCTTTGGCTCAAGTGTTTAACGGCTGAAGCTACCAAGACCTGCTTCGCCGTGCGGGAGTATAAAGGTGACCTATCATCATCATTGTTGCCAGGCTCCCGTGCAGAACCCTCCTCGGGGTTTTGCATGGTAGCGGAGCGTGGTTGCCATGGCGGCGGCGGCGGCCGCTGCAGCTAGGCCTGGGCAGGGCGACCCGCCAGTTAACATCAATGTGCCGGCAGACAGAGACGCATGGGCCAACATGGACCCCAACCGATTCAACGACCTGTGTGAGCAAGCGTACCTGAGCGGAGACTTCAGTTACGTCCAGACAGCGTTACTCGCAAACCATTTCGGACTCGCAACGTTCATCAACGAGCGAGTGACACAGGACCGAAGGGAGGTATCGAACGCCGAGGCATTCCAAATGTTACAGAGTGCTCATAAGACCAACAGCATGTTGTTGGCGATTACGAAAAGAAATGCTGCACTTGAAAGGGATGCTCGCAGACTGGTGGAAAGAGTTACCGAGTTGGAGACCAACAGCGAG